CCGTCGTCTCTTCATTCAGACTCCTTCGTAGATCCAGCGGACAATCAAAATGATGTTAGCACAAGCTCACCACCAATGAAGTATGATCGTACGGAAGGTGAGGATATTGCGATTCGTTTCTATTTTTGACCTTATCGTGAATTCCGTGAGGCAGAGGTGGCACGGTGGTTGGTAGCACGCTTACCACGCGCGCGACCGAGGGTCACATCCCAAATCGGCTACCGCGTTCTAATCGGGTACCAACAAAGCTTCCAAAACCCAGGAATGGTAAATTTACACCAGACTTGTTTGGGAGGACAACTACACTGACTTGTACATCGGCTGGCCCCGCAAGTCATTGTATAGGCCACATCGCATTCAATAAGCCACTGGGATTCTGAAGAGGACTCGAATGCGTGCCGCATCTTGAAAAGGGATTACTCAAAATGCCCCTTTTTATCGTAGATTATGTAATGGTGATCATGAAGGGTGAAAGAGAACCTTGAATGTAACGTCACAGTTGTCCAGTGATTTCGAAGATTTATGATTGTTTCTGAAAGTGACTACAGGAGAAATGTTCACTGTAAAGTGGAAGTTCTGTAGGCTTGTTGAGATCGTTCTAGTATAAGTGCATTGGAATCTTGAAGGATAACTTTGATGATAAGGTTTGCTGAATATTCTCCGGCTTCTCTCTTGCTGTAACCTCGGCATCGTTGTTCGATTCATTAGTATTGCTATGCCTCTCGAGGTTTTGGAAGTTTTATTCATCGACCTGACGTTTTGACAGGGTCGTCTTCTTCAGAAGCCAGAAGTACACCGTAAATCCGCCGTCAGTAGCAAAGTTTGTTAGTCTCCTACTGACTAACATCCGAACGGTATAGTTCTGGCCTCTGAAGAAGACGACCCTGTTGAAACGTTAGGCCGTTGAATAAAACTTCCACCTAAAAACCTCGAGAGGCACAACAATACTAACAAGTTGATAAGGTTTGCGTTCATGTTTCGCAACTTGAGCCTTTTGGTCACGCGTCGACAACTTCGCGACTGTGACTGATCTCGCTTCACTGCTAACCGTAAATCCGCTACGACTGCTGATTCGATCACAACAAAGATGAAATTCTTTTTCTAATTCCGCAGCGGTTCAATAGTTAGCGGTAGAGCAGACAGTCGCTGTCGTGTGACTGAATCGTTTGGTCGCGAACTATGAATGCGTTTATAATCCGTTTACGCTCGCACTTTTTACGATCAATATTGGTAGTCTATTGGATGCCCGAACAAGGGAGTGCTTTCATGGACGAAAACAGTGTCTTGAGGGCATAACGAAAACGAGACTTAGTCAGTTCAGTTGTAACAGAAGTATGTAGCGCCAAAAGGAGCTAGTAAATAGGCATTTGTAGATATGGAACAGTGGAGACAGCGTCGCTTCGTTTTCGCTTTAACATAAGATTGTTTTCTTACTGATTACCCCGCCTCTTGTCATGATGGATCAGTTTTAACCGGTTTGTCCAAGTGTTGTAGTGATAGAAGGCTAGCAGCCTGCTGGTAGAATCCTGGATCCACCGGGACCACCCATCGTGCTGCATACTTCTGAGATCCGTTAGGTGTTCCGGACTTTTCTTTATTTTTGCATGACACAGGTGCCGTTGCACTGGACAAAAAAAGTGAGCTTTCTTCTCTATGGGGGTTGCAGCAGCGCCAAAAAAGGGTGAACAAATTTTTGATGTTTCGGTTCTCCACGAAAGCGGAATTTTTTGCATGTTAATGGCTTTCTTATTCGCGCGATTTAATTAGAAAAGGCGCGGGAAAAAAAACGTTTCCAAAAACTGCTATATGGCCTGAAAAACACCCATCTGAGACAACCGGAACCGTGTCCTGCAAGTTAGGCCCATAAGTCAATTGTATTGGTCAAATCGCATTAGAAAGCACTATGATTTTGGGAAGACGTAGAATGTGCGCCGCTTCCAAGAAGGAATACAAAATCAAAATTACTCAATTGATCGCAGCTCCCGGGAACCAGTGTTTCAGAGCCGATAGCCCACATTTTAAATTGAACGATGGGTATATGGTGCGCCTTAATGGGCTCATTCTGGTCTGTGTCCTTTGTTTTGTTATGCAGTTGTTCCCTGATCCTGCTTCACACCATAAATCTTCTTGGTAGATCCGGGATTGTCTGGCCGATTGCGATCGATGCGTTCTTTGTGGCGGTGTCGATAAATGCGTAATCTATGTAGTCCTTTTTTATAGAGTCACCTGTCGGAGCTGGTCACATTTCGCGATCGGAACGACGAACTCAATCCGTGCGTACGAAAAGTGGTGAGTACCGCCCATCAGGGACTTGTTCCATTTGGCGATCTCTAGCTGGTTTTCTGTGTATTCAGCTCGTACTTCACTGTGAACTT